ATGCAAGATGGAACAGCCAGGTGTGAAACAGAGAAAAGCCTGGGTTGGACTTAGTAGCAGGAAGACCTCCAGAAAGGCACGACAGAGCCTCTCTGACAACGGTTAGGAGATGGAAACTCGGGGTTTGTCAACAGCCCAGACCAAAAGAGCTGCTGAGGTGTCTATGACCTGGGGTTAGCACAGGCCAGAGAGTGATTTGGCCTGAAGAGCTCCTTCTGAACTGCATCCTCTGGGTCCAGTGACCAGAGTGAGCTATCGGTTCAAAACTCCAGGACCAAGTCCTAGCCAAGTACCCTGGCTCCTTGATGATACCAAGACCTTGCCTCTTCCGTACTGTCAAACATGAGCTAGAGCTTTCTTCCAAAGTTAAGGGCCCCAACTTACCTTTGTCAACAGCTTTTTGTAGACAGAAACACCCTTACTAAATTAGAAGGTGCTAAAAGGCAGGAGCTGTGGCTCCCTAACCCTTTCCACCCCCAATCACAAACCCGTAAACTCTTACTAGGAGCCCAATAATCATTTGAGTAGAATCAAAAGCTGGGTTAGAGAAGAGCAGCAATGGGCGGCTGAGCACGAAGACGCACGTGTCCAGGAGCCCAGGAAGGAGGCCCGTGCCATGGTTTGCAGGGAGAAAAGAGCCCACGGGCTTGGAGGACAGCAGCAGACTGCACGCACACTGGCCCTGCGAAGTCCTACACCACACTTTATGAGACCTACAGAGATCGTCATTCTCAGCACAATGTCTACATTAAAACAGTACAAGTGTTTGCTTCTCAGTAAATGAACAGGACTCTGAAATGGGTCACATGATTATATTCAGTTTAGAATAAAGTTGTTTTGTCTTTTGTCTTTACTACCTTTAATAAATAAAGAGAACTCTGGTCCTAGGAAGATTTGAAAAAGTTTCTGGCATCTTCCGAACTTTTGCATAATTGATGAATCCTCTGAGAAACAGGAGAAAGCCTTAAAAAAAAAAAAAAAGTCAAGCATGAATTTATCATTTAATGCTAAGTCCTCTCCCCAGAAATATCCGTTTAGCAATACTTGGCCATTTCTGTTAAAAGCTATCAAAACATAATCAATTTGTTCCAGAATTTCCTTAAAATTTTCCCATTTAAAAAATTCTCCATCCCTCTTATAAGTTTCTTTTGCGCATTTGGAATTTAATGGGTCTACAAAGAAATAAAAGGTAAGATAAGGGAGAAAGCACATGAAAAAATAAATCAAAATCTACCTTTTTACTTCTAGAAAAAAGTACCCTAGCGGAATTAGCTCCTAAAATTGAGAGCAATAGCTGCTTTAATCAAGTGAGGGGCATTTTTAGTCGCTCTGTATTATGGGATTCTTTTATCTTACCTACAACCCCCTCACCCCCCAACCCCAACCACCTATAGTACATACTATTGTCCACTAGATGTCAGGGCGTCCCTAACTATTGCAGTTCATCGCCAGACTCAAATCTGTATTTCTCTACTTCACGTTGGTTACTTTGCTATTTACCAGCGAGTGGAGTAGTGAGAATGATTTTATATGCTTAGATTAGAACAGCGGTTCTCAACCTGTGGGGTCAAACGAGCCTTTCACAGGGGTCACCTATGACCACTGGAAAACACCAATGGTCTTAGGAACTGAGACACAGCTCCTTTATCTATCTCCGGGCGGGTCCCACCACATGCATACACGCCCACATACAAGTACCCCGTGTGAAGACTGTTACCCATGCTACACCATGCTTCAAGACAAACTTTCACTTATTTGTAATTAGGAATAAATATATCACAATATGTAATTACATATTGTTTTTGTGATTAATCACCATGCTTTAATTATGTTCAATTTGTAACAATGAAAATATATCCTGCATATCAGATATTTTCATTATGATCCAAAACAGTAGCAAATTACAGTTATGAAGTAGCAATGAACATAATTTTATGGTTGGGGGTCATGACAACATGAGAACTGTTTTAAAGAGTAGGCATTAGGAAGGTTGAGAACCACTGGACCAAGAATCAAGGCACCCTGGTGGCACAATGGTGGCATCCGGGTGCTTACTGAAAGGTTGGTGTTCAAATCCAGTTAGCAGCGAGCACTCTTCCGAGGAGAAAACCCTGCCTCTGGAAAGGTCACAGCTTAGAAAACCGGATGGGGTGGCTCTACTCGGTGACAAGGGCACTGTGAGTTTGGATCCACTCACAGATGTGCATGTGTCTGCAGCAAGCCCAAAGCTGAGTGAAATGCTGCTCCACTCTCTGCGGGCCTCTCCCTTTATCAAACTTAACACATGGCTGTCTAGTTAGTGGCTTTCTCGCTCACCCCCTTCTCATCCCTGGTAACCATCAAAAGTATGTTTCTTTCTCTGTGTAACTGTGGGTCAACTTCTTATAATAATGGTCTCAAACAATATTTGTTCTTTGGTGATTCATGTATTTCACTCAGCATAATGTCCTCCACGTTAAGATCAGCTTCACAGATTCACCGTTCTTTAATGTCACATGGTATTGCATTGGGTGTATGTACCACAGTTTGTGTATCCCCCCACCCATCCATCCACTGATGGGCACTTGGTTTGTTTCTATCTTTTAGCTGGTGTGAATGCTGCAATGAACATGGTGTGCACACGTCTATTCCTGTCATGGTTCTTGATGCTCTTGGATTATAGCTAGTGTTGTCAGGTGCAGTTGGATCATAGTACCTCTGTATACAACAGAAGAAACACTGCCTGGTCCTGTGCCATTCTCACAATCTCTCCTGTGTCTGAGCCCATTGTTGCAGCCACTGTGCCAATCCATCTCATTGGGGATCTTTCTCTTCCTCTGACCTTTACCAAGCATAATGTCCTTTTCCAGGGGCTAGTCCCTTCTGATAGCATGTCCGAAGTACGTGAGATGACGTGCCCCCACCCTCACTTCTAAGGAGCATTCTGACTGTACTTCTTCCAAGATAGAACTGTTCATTCTTTTGGAAGTCCATGGTATATTCTTTGCCAACACTGTAATTCAAGCGCACCAATTATTCTGCAGTCTTCCCTACCCACTGTCCAGCTTTCACATGCGTATGAAAGATCTTGGTCCTCTCAAAATGACAGCTTTGCCTTTCAACACTTTAAAAAGCTCTTTACGGTAGATTTGCCCAATGCAATGTGCCATTTGATGTCTTGACTGCTGCTTCCATTGGCGTTGACTGTGGACCCAGGTAAAACGAAATCCTTGACAACTTCAATCTTCCTCCATTTATTACGATTTTACTTATTTATCGAGTTGTGAGGATGTATCTTTCCTTCTGTGGAGGCGTAATGCATACTGGGCTGCAGTCTTTGATATTGATCAAAGTCTTTGATACTTCAAGTCTTTGTTTTCAGGAAGCAAAGCTGTTATTTGCATAGCCAGATTGTTAACAAGTCTTCCTCCAATCCTGATGCTGCGTTCTTCTTTATATTGTCCAGCTTCTTGCGTTATTTGTTCAACAGAAAGACTGAATACCTACAACGGAATTTCTGGATCATATGGTCTTTAAATTTCTAGCCTTTTGAGGAAGCGCCATGCTGTTTTCCATAGTGATGAAACTTTTAACAGAGAAAGATGATCAAGCCATTACATGTCTTTAATGTATCTAATTGTCGATAGTCCACCTGAAAACACAACTAATTGCTCTTCTTCGATGTGTTTCAGGGTCTGATTTGACTTGATTTGGGGGAAGAGTAGTCGGCAGCTACCTTTCTGCTAAAGGCACAGTTTAGAGAATGAGCAAGTAATAAAATCATTTCTAAGTAACTCCTGTAGGTTGTTTTACATGTCCTGTTCATACAGCAGTTCAGTGCTCCCCTGCTTACTGAATAGGTTCAAATCCACCAATCACTCCACAGTCTACTCCTGTAAAAAATTACAACCTTGAAACTCCTTGGGATGGCAATAACCTATAGGATGGTTATTGGGTCAGTATCAGTTGGAATCGACTTGATGGCAACAGATTTGGTTTAACTTTTTTTTGGGGGGGGGGATGGGGAGTGGGGGAGTTTAGTAATCTTTCTTATTTAACTTCTCATTTATCAAGGAAGTGGGGGGGGGGGTCATTATTTCTTGTCACTTAAAATGCCAAAGGTCAGACTACAGTAGATGCTGCTATGGGTAGAAAGATATTTTCTAAGTAAAATGTGGGGTCAACAATGCATGACTTAGTTAGCTTACTCAAAGCAGGCCTTGAGCCTAATTCAAAGTTATCAAGGATGGGTGCTGGACCATGCTAGTCAGACGCATCAGCAGCCCTGCTGACCAAACACAGGCCACAACCTGTCTGAGCCAGTAACCACTTCAAGGTAGTAACTCACAAAGGAAAAAGGAAAACAAACAAAACATGACAGACTGTAAAGTCATTGTACCCTACCCTGCGGGTGGCACGGGGCCCGAGACACAGAAGGAATGGGTTAGGGAAAACCTACCACCACTAAAAGACTTTTTAATAATGCATAAGTGTTACTTTGATGGTGACAGCAGCCTAATCTTTAAGATCTTAAGTCTTCAAAGATTTATTATTGATGATTTCATCATGTATTATTGAACAGCAAACAAGATGAGAGTTTGCTAAAAGTACTTTTACTTCTGAACTTTTTAAAAAGTTTTTTTAAATCATTTTATTGGGGGCTCATACAATTCTTATCATAATCCATACATACATCCATTGTGTCAAGCACGTATGTACATTTGTTGCCCTCATCATTCTCAAAAACTTCTGAACTTCAATGCAATTTCCCCTCCCCCCTTTCATATGTCAAAGCACTTACCGAGAACCAGAAACACCCACCAGAGCCAGTACTGGCCATCAAAGTATCCAGGGAAATAGGTGGAGAACTGAAAAACAAAGCAAGTCTATTGAGCTGCTGCAAAGACACAGGTGCTGCAAAGACACATTCTAACTTATGGGCACATGGAGCACAAGACTCCCTTCTGAATGCCAATGCCATCATTTAACAAGGACAGAGAGAAACGCTGTTGTTGTTGTTAGGTGCCATCAGGTCGGTTCTGACTCGTACCAACCCTGTGGACAACTGAACAAAACAACACCTGGGGCCTGCACCATCCGTACAACTGGTCTTGTGTTTGAGCCCATTGTTGCAGCCACTGGGTTAATCCATCGTGAGTCTGTTTGTGTACCTAGGATGAGGGCCTTCCTCTTTTTCACTGCCTCTCTACTGTACCGGGCATGATGTCCTTCTCCAGGGACTGGTCTCTCTTGATAGACAACATGTCAAAAGTACGTGAGACTAAGTCTCACAATCCTTGGCTCTAGGAGCATTCTGGCCATATTTCTTCCAAGACAACAAAGTAAGTACAGGTTTTCTATATATATATATATATTATTCACTGATTTGAGATCACTATGTAACACATGTAAATATATTTCATTATATGGGAAAGCAATCTTGAAATACGATAGCTTTCAGTGGTATGGACGGTTTGAATATGCACAAACTGTGCTCTTAAAAAAAAAACACCACTGGGGGGTGGGGGTGGGGGCACATAATAGTCACCCTCCTAGAAATACGTGTTGGTAACAGTTTCCTTTGCTTGCCTAGCACCAAAACTGACTGGTTGGCTGCTACCATTGCTGTCTTTCTAATGAGCTTCGATTTTGTTCCTACGTCTGCCTTCCCTGGCCCTTGCAAGCTGTGTCTCATATAACATGACTATCCCCCGCCTTCCCTGGGCAAAGACTGGTTTAGACATGGGCACACGCTATTAGTATGGTCAACAGGAACAGAGGGTTTCCTGGCTCTCAAAAAGAAAAGACAGAGAAGAAACTGTACCTTTTTTTCGGTTAGGCACTGTTGTGTTTCGATGTAACGCCTGAAACAGCTTTTGAGCATGAGGGTGGGGGAGTATAGCAACATGCTCAGCACAGGACAGCAGAAATGTCAGATGCTCCTGACGCCATGACCAAGCTCTGATTTACCAAACTCCACAGCAGGTGCGTATCAAACTCGATGTCATGGGAGATAACAAGCTGTCCTTGCTGCTTTCTAAGCTATTTTAAGATACATTTTCTGTTACCCAGAGCCAAGAGCATCCTAACAGATACAAATTGATTCAGCTTTAAAAAAAAAATCAGTCAATTTAATGCAAATATTTTGTTTTTTAAAAAGACTGGTAACTAATCCCATCTCTATTTTCTATGAAAGGCTTTGGTATTCAAAGTTTCACAATTTGATAATTGAAACACAGCATGTGATTTCTTAATAAAATAATACCTAAGATTTAGAGAGGGAATGACAGAGCTCTTGAGGGCCTGTGTCTTAAAATATATGTGTGTGTGTGTGTGTGTGTGTGTGTGTGTATATATATGTCTCCTCTCTTTGGGGTCTACAGTTTTCATTATATTCTCAAACAAGTCTGGGATCCTAGAAATGTTACCATGCTTTAGGATAAATAAAGAAGAACTGCTTTGAAAATTTTTGCAATTTGCAAAATTGCAGCCCATTAATGATTTAAGAATGCCAATTCATGATATGTAAATTAGCTTTGTCTATAAAATTAATAGCAAAAAATGTATCTGCTATCAAAGGTACTCTAAGAGATTAGAGCTTGACAACCTGAAATAACATCATGAAAATTTTCTACCTGGTAACCCCTAACCACTGAAGACCTTTTTCGAAGTTATTTCAGAGGGCAAGGCCCCTAATGCGGTAGTAGTAGTTAAATTGTTTTATAAGTTTTGAACATTTTGGCATGACCAATGATGCTAACAATATAAGCAATCCTGGAAGAAAGGAAGAGAGGGAAGAAGAGAGGAAGAAAGCTCGAGTAAAAATGTTCCGTAAAATGAATGAGAGGAATACCTACTTTTGATGAGAGACCCAGGAGGGCCTTTGAAAATAACTAAAACACATATTATCAAATTATAAGCATTAAAATGAGGGGGCAGCTGGCAAACAACCAATAGTCCTCAGATTTGACTACAAAACTTGTGTCGATGAACTTAACTGCAATTGATTTTGGTTCAACTTCGTCATGAAACCAGAGCAGAAGCTAACCAAAAAACCCCAAACCGCCCACACAAATGAAAACTCAAATATTCAAAAGTATTCTAAGTATCATCGCTTTGCAGTTGTTTCTGTTGTACAACTTACCCTGACAATCAGGATCCACTTAATTAGTGAGAGACCAAATCCTGAAATGGCCCCATACCTTCCTGCAGCCGAGGTGGTCAGGCAAAAAGACAGGAAAAACCCAATCCAGTTAAAGAGGAATGCCACTGTGTAAAGAGAGGAAAAAGCTGTCAGACATGTCCTCTACCAAAGTAGAAAAGCCCATTCAACTTGTTTCTGCTTCAATGACGTTCCTGAAGATAAAGACTGCTAGCCCTCCATCTTCCCCCACAGCATAACACCCTCTCTGAATACATTACACTACACAGTCAATTCCTATTCACTCTTTCAAAAATGCAACATTCACACACTGTGCACTTTATGACTTAACACTCACCAAGCTGACTAGCCTTTACTACGTGTTATAAGTGCCGGGAGCGTTATTAAGTCAGTGACCCCAGATAATCTGACTCAAGTCATTCTTCCTCCCACTTCTATGAACTTTGATAGCTTTTTTAACTTCACAATGAAAAGCACTGCACGTTCTCGGAAGAAACCATTTTATTATAACACAGCACATAAAAAGAAATGGTGGTTCACTTCTGAATTAGTCACAACAAAAGACAAATGGAAAATAATATCAAGGGGGAAAAGAGGCTGACTTTGATCTGTTAGAGAATAGATGTTCACAGTATCAAATTAGTCAGAGCAAGTCATTTAATTCTAATTCTACAAGCCAGGTCTGAGTAGTATTAACATTAAGGGACCATGCTGATCTACAAGAAGAGGTTTAGCTCAGGTGAGTAGGCCACAATCCCCAGGACTGCTTTAATTATAACATCCATAAATACTCTTGGAAATATTAGGGGGCTTCAAAAAGTTCTTCATGGAGAAGACTTAAAAGGTAGTGGAATTTTCCAACAAATGTTTAGAAGTCTCCTTACAGAAGATGAAAAGAAGGGATAGATGTTAAGATAAAAAAGGTACTAAGCTCTAAGCATCCCAGAAAAGGGAACCAAATAAATATACTGTACTAATATACTAGCTCCACTACTTATTTTAATTTAGTCAGATCCACCCATAAACCAAAGCTCGTTAGTCTGTGGTGGGAGGGTCTGCTAATGTGAACATACTTACTGAAAAACGTTAACATGAAAATCCCATCATTTCCTATCCTCAGCTGGTCAGCATCATCAAAATCATCCCGGCCCACAAAATCTTCATCCTGAATGAAAAGACAGAGAATAAGGCAAATGCATCAGTACTACTTCTAAGCGAAGGAAAGACATCAAGAAAAAGAAAAAGGGGGTGGGGGTGGACAACCAAGAGGCCCAAATGAAAAAAACAATTCAAACTACGAGCATTAGGGCTCAGTACACATTAAAAACTTAATTTTGCCTTATAAGCAAAAGAACGAAAGAAAAACCGATCTTTCTTCTATTCCTGTAGTTTTCTAGAAAAAAAAGGGATTTTTCATATTATAACCTTAAATTCTTTAACAAAGTCAAAAGGAAACAGTCCACAAAGAACTATTCATTCTTTAAGAGAAAACTTATTTACACACTTGGTTTAGATTCTAGAAGATTAATTAATAATCAAGGGTCTGTATTGAGGAGGTAAAACTGACGAGTCCAAGT